GGCGCGCTGCCCCGCGAGGCAAGGGGCCGCTGCAGGTCTGGGGGCTCGCTGCAGCAGCGTGGGCTTCTGGCCCCGTGCAGCGAGGGACGCCAGCTACTCGAGGGGGGGATCGACTACAGAAGCGATTTGCTCCCAAAACTGATCTCTCGTTGAAGCTGCAAGAACATCTGCATGATGCTCGTAGAAGCACGACTATTCTACGTGCGGGGTCCACGGTAACAAAAAACAACTTTAGGGCAAATCAATTCTGTAGTCGATTACATACTCGAAGTACTGCAGGTGGGAGCCCGCGTGCAGGGGCCGCTTGGGCTCGGGAGGTTTTGCTTAGCGTGTCGCGGCGGCGGCCACGGCGACAGGCTATGCCCTGCTGCACGTGTCGCTCCGCTCCGCGGGGCGGGAGGCCCAGAACAAAACTCGGGACGTTGACGCCTGGGGACTGGGAAGTGGTCAGCGTGCCGCGCTGAGGCGTGGTGGGCCATAACTGTCGGTGCGACAGGCTAAGCAAACGCTCCTGACCGTAGAGCCTGTTGGAAGGTCGAGGAACAACAATCGGAGGTCCGCGCTGATTTCTTGGATCGTCGCTGGCGCTAGGGGCGGCGCCAGAGGCGCTGCCAGGGGGCTCCAGCGCCGATCAGAGAAATCCGCGCGGACCTCGAAAAGTCTATGTTTGTGCCATGAGTTCTTCGAAGAACTGGGGGTGCGACGCGCTAAGCAAGCGTGCGTTGAGCCCGCTGGAAGGTGCGAGCCTGCTAGAGCGGGCTCTCCCCAGCAATCTGCCTCGACTCCTGCTCACCCTCCCTGCACCTCCTCCTCCCCTCCTCCTCCTCCTGATCCTCCTCCTCCCCCCCCGCCGCTCGTCCTGGACACCTCCTCCTCCTCCCCTCCCTCCTCCCTCCTCCTCCTCCCTCCTCCTCTCCTCCCCTCTCTCCTCCTCCTTCTCCTCCTCCTCCTCCTCCCTCCTCCTCCTCCTCGTCCTCCTCCCCTCTTCCTCCTCCTGATCCTCCCCCTCCCCCTGCCACTCCTCCTCCTGATCCTCCCTCTTTCCTTCCGCAGTCCGAGGGCGGCCCGCTGTCGAAGCGCCCGCGCGGCCGGGCCGCCAGGCGCGGGCACCTGCACGCACCGCGGGCGGGCCGCCTGGCGCCCAGGCCGCGGCGGCACCCCCCCCGCGGCCAAGGGGGCACGGCCGGTGGCGCCCGACGCCTGCGCGGGGGGGCGCCTGTCTGCCAGCTCCCCGAGGGAGGGGCCCCCGCGCTGCGGGGGCAGCTGCCCCGTGGAGCAAGGCCTGGGGCGCGCGGCGGCTCGCTGGCAGCACAGCTCGCCCTGCCGAGCAACGCAGGGCAGAACGCGTGCGAGGCCCCGTCCGGATACGGCCAGGCCCTCCTCATCATCATCATCATCATCATCATCATCATCATCATCATCATCATCATCATCATCATCATCATCATCATCATCATCATCATCATCATCTTCATCATCATCATCATCACCATCATCATCATCATCATCATCATCATCATCATCATTATTATCATCATCATCATCACCACGATCATCATCATCATCATCATCATCAGCACCATCATCACCACCACCACCATCACCATAGTCATCACCATCGCCATCGCCATCAACATCACCATCACCATTACCATGACCATCATCATCATCACCATCAGCATCATCTTCATCGTCGTTATGGTCATCGTCATCGTCGTAATCATCGTCACCATAATCATCAGCATCCCTAGTATCCCCATCATCCTCATGATCATCATCGTCCTCCTCCTCCTCATCACCATAATCACGATCACCATCATGATCAGCATCATCATCATAAGTATCAGCACCGTCATCCCCATCAAGCACACCATCACCAACCAAATCATGATTACACACATCACCACCATAATCAGACACTTCACTACCTCCATCATCAGAATCGTCGTCGTCATCATCATCACCATCATCATCAGTCTCCTCCTCATCATCACCATCATTCTTACCACCATCATCATCAGCAGCAGCACCACCACCATCATCATCAGCATCATATCCACCATTGCCATCACCACGACCATAACCATCACCGTATTCATCACCATCGCCATCATCATCATCGTCATCATCATAGTCATCGCCATCATCGTCGTCAACATCATCGTCATCCTCATCATCAGCATCCTCAGCATCCTCCTCATCATCATCACCATCCTCATCTGCATCACGATCATGATGATCATCACCGTAATCATCAGCATCATCACCATCATAATTCTCATCACCATCAAACACACCATCACCAACCACATCCTCATTATACACATCACCACCATAGCCAGACACATCACTATCTTCATTATCATGATCATCGTGATCATCACAACCATCATCATCATCACCGCTCACCTTCATCATCATCGTCATCATCACCGTCACTATCATCATCATCATCACCATCATCATCACCATCATCGTCATCATCATAATCACGAAACACACCATCGCCAACCACATCATGCTTACACACATCATAACCCTAGCCAGGCGCATCACCATCTTCATTATCATAATCATCGTCGTCATCAGTACCATCACCATCATCATCAGCCTCCTGCCCATCATCAGCATCATCTCTATCATCACCATCATCACCATCTTCATCATCACCATAACCATCATCACCATCATGATCACCATCATTATCATCACCATGACCATCATCACCACCATCACCATCACCACAATCATCACCATCACCTTCCTCATCGCCATCATCACAACCACCATCACCATCACCATCACCATCACCATTACCATCATCATCACCACCATGATTACCGTCATCACGATCATCATCATCACCACCTACATCATCGCTATCATCACCACCACCATCACTATCAACATCATCATCACCTCCATTATCATCATCACCATCATCATCATCATCGTCATTGCCATCATCATCACCTTCATCATCAACATCACCACCACCATCACAATCAACATCATCACCATCATCATCACCACTATCATCCTCATCATCCTCCTCATCATCATCATCGTCATGATCACGACCATCACCATCACCATCACCATCATCATCATCATCATCATCATCATCATCATCATCATCACCGTCATCATCGTCATTTTCTTCATCATCGTCAAAATCACCACTTCCATCACAATCACCGTCCCCAGCATCACCATCACGATCATCATATTCACCATCATCATCACCATAGTCATCATCACCACCATCATCATCATCACCACCTTCATCGTCGCCATTATCACTTCCACCACCACCACCATCACCATCATCATCACCATCATCATCATCATCATCGTTACCACCATCATCATCATCATCGTCATCATCGTCACCACCATCGTCGTCATCGTCACCACCACCAACACCATCACCATCACCAGCATCATCATCACCACCATCATCATCATCACAATTATCTTCCTCGCCATCAACTTCATCACCGTCCTCATCATCACCACCACCATCTTCATCTTCATCACTATCATCATCGTCACCTTGATCATCGTCACCATCACCATTATTATCATTAGTATTTTCATCTCCTTCAGCATCACCACCACCATCACCATCACCATTATTATCACAATCATCATCATCACTTCAATAATAATCATCATCACAATCATCACTATCATCTCCATCATCGTCATCATCAGCACCACTACTATTCCCATCACCATCATCATCACCACCATCACCATCATCTTCATCATCGTCACCATCACCACCACCATCACCATCATAGTCGTTACCATCATCATCACCATCACCATAATCATCATAATCACTACCATCATCACCATCATCTGCATCATTTTCATCATCACCACCACCACCATCACAGTCACCATAACCATCATCCTCACCATCACCATCACCATCATTATTACCACCATTATTACCATCATCACCATCATCATCACCTTCATCGTCATCATCAGCACCACCACCACCTTCACCATCACCATTACCATCATCATCATCATCATCATCATCATCATCATCATCATCATCGTAACCTTCATCATCGACATCATCACCTCCACCATCACCATCATCATCATCATCAGCATCATCATCACCTTCATCATCGTCATCATCACCACCATAACCATTACCATCATCATCATCATCATCATCATCATCATCATCATCATCATCGTCACCACCATCACCATCAACACCTTCATCACCATCATCATCGTCATCATTACCACCACCACCATCACCATCACCATAACCATCATCACTATCATGATCACCATCATTATCATCACCATCACCATCATCATCAGCATGATTGTCATCACCACCTTCATCACCATCACTATCATCATCACCATCACCACCACCAGCATCATCATCAATATCAAACATACCAGCATCACCACCGCCATCATCAGCACTGGGCCCTGTGCGAGGTTCCTTGGCGACGGCGGGGCCCTCCCCTCCCTGGCGCGTGCGGGGCCCTGGCGGGCGACGCCCGGGCCCTCGGGATCCAGGATCGATGATCCCCGCCACGCGTGCCAGCGCCAGCGCCAGCTGGTGCTCCTCCATCCGACGCGGGCGGTGCGAGGAGGGCCAGCATCAGCCGTGTGCCATCGGCGGAGCTCCGCGGAGTAGACACTCGCTGGGCTGGCACACGCCCCGAGCACGGAGCCCTGTGCGAGGGGTCTCGTTGGTGACGGCAGGCGCCCCCCCACGAGCAGGGTGCCCCGTGCGCGGGGCCCTGTGACAGCGATGGCGGGGCCCTGGCCGACGGCCTCTTTTCCGCCACGGCGCGGCGAAGACGATGGCTCCAACCTCCAGAACGGCATGTCACGAGAGCGTGGCCGCCCCGCAGCGCGAGATGTGCGAGATGGCTCACGGACAGCAGGGCAGTGTGGGCGGATTGATGAAGACAGTGACGGCGATGATGGGAGGAGGGTGGCGAGGGTAG